ACCCGGCGGCCCGGGAGCCTCGGTTCGCCTTCACCTTGCCTTTGCCCTCGTCGTTGAGAAATTCGATCCCATATGCTCTAGGTCAATACCCGGGTCGAGCCGAGAGCTGAGACGGGAGGACGGGTGATGCAGAGGCATTGTGTCTGTATGCATGTATGGACAGCGATGGGGGATGGAAGGACGCCTTGCAGCGTCAGAGCTATGTTGGGACGTCATGTGGCGCGGGAGGGAGCGGTGGGGCCGGGGATGAGGAGGATGGGCCAGGAGGGGTATATGGTACACGGTTGGATCTCGATGCTATGCCAATGAGAAAGAGGGGCGTGGCCGGGCGAACCGCGGTCGATGGTCGCTCGAGGCGGGTTCGGGCTCAGAGACTAAACGACTTGCGGCCTCCCGATCCAAACATCCTCAACGCTCCGCCCCCCACCACGCCGCTAGCGCCGCCCGAGGAAGATGCAGAGGAGCCAGCAGAGCCGAGGACCGACGCACCGCCGCCGCGCGTGTAGAGGAGCACGACGGCGGCGAGGGTGACGACGACGGTGGCGTAGCTCATCAGCATCGATCCGCCCACCTCGGTCCCGTCGACCATCTTGGCCTTGCCCCTCGTCCCGACCGCCGCTTTCGCCCCGCCGACGCCGGGGAGGGAAGGGATGTTGCTCTTGAGCTCCGTGGCAATCACGGGGAGGATGACGATGCACGCCGTGTAAAACACCATAATCGAGCGCCACACGAGCCCGGGCCACGCGAGCAGGCTCGGCCGGGCCACCTTCCCACTCCGCGCATCGAGGCGCGGGTGGGTGAAGAGCGTGTAGATGCTGTAGAGGGCGACGGCGAAAAAGTGGCCCACAAGGAGCAGCGGCTGCGGCGCCAGGCCGCTCAGCAGCGACACGGGCCCGTTGACGCACTCGCCGCCCAGCTCAAAGTACTTGAAGCATCCCTCGCGCAGAACCTCGAGGTTGGCGTCGTCGGCGCCAAACAGCGAGTAGAGCGCCTGGGCAAGGATGTTGATGACCGAAGACAGGTTCTTGCGGTACCAGT